AATAATGTGCTTTGAAATTCTTTGAAATCTCTTTTGTGTTTCCAGTTAAAGAGAAAGTCATACGAATTAGGAAAAACATAAGGGTGAGTAAATGATGACAGAAATATAATTTCCACCCAAAAAATTTAAATTTGCTGAAAATGTACTCACCCTCAGGCCATCCAAGATGTAGATTAGTTTGTTTCTTCATCTAAACAGATTAGGAAAAAATTTGCATTATATCACTTGCTCACCAATGAATCCTCTGTAGTGAATGGGTGCCGTCAGAATGAGAGTCCAAACAGCTGATAAAAACATCACAATAATCCACAAGTAATCCACACCACTCCAGCCCATCAATTAATGCCTTGTGAAGTGAAAAGATACCGGTTTGTAATACATAAATCCATTGTTAAGACATTTTAATTTCAAACTATTGCTTCCGTCTAAAATTATTCCATAATCCATAATACTGCTTTCTCCAGTGAAAAGGTTGTCTCGTCTGAATCAGGAGAGAAATGAAATGAAGGCTTGATGGATTTGTTTCTAACAAACATGCAGCTTTTCACTTCACAAGATGTTAATTGATGGACTGGAGTGGTGTGGATTACTTCTGGATTATTGTGATGTTTTTATCAGATGTTTGGACTCTCATTCTGACGGCACCCATTCACTTCAGAGGATCCACTGTAGAGCAAATTAGGTGATGCTAAATTGCTCCAAATCTGTTCTGATGAAAAAGCAAACTCATTTACATTTTGGATGGCCTGAGGGTGAATACATTTTCAGCAATTTTAAATTTTTGGGTGAACTGTTCCTTTAAATATTCTGAAAAGCTGTTTTTTTTTTTTATTACGTTGTTGAAAACACATGCCACACTGGATTATTTTTTAGGTACATGCTTGAATTTCATAGATATCATTATTATTTTTTATAGAAACTGCTATTTTTATGAACGGGTACAACTTTTTGATATACTGTGACAAGTGTGCGCTATCATTCTGGAAGGGCTGTGGTCTAATCACAAACCTTGCAATGGTGGGTTGGAACAATTGTGCAGTTGCCTAGCAACAGGCAGAGGTGGGTTTCCCAAAAGCTTTGTTGCACAATGAACATTGTTGAGTCCACTATAGAGCCTTGGTAGTTTCTGAAATTCCCCACATTTCACACATCGTGTTTTTTTAAACTGAGTTGAGAGGTGTAGGCCTGATTCTCTATTCCAAACTCCTACATAGCATCATATATTCATTACGCAATGACATTCCAAGGGTACACGTCTCATTTCTCAAATTAAGTTGAAAGCTAAAGGTTAAAAGCAAATCAGTCAGTCAAAACTAATGCTGATACACATCTTTAAAAATCTGAGTAACACTTTAGTATAGGGACTAATTTTCACTATTAACTAGTTGCTTATTAGCATGTCTATTATTACCATATTGGCTGTTTATTAGTACTTATAAAGCATGACCATATTCTACAACCCTAATCCTACCCAATACCTAAACTTAACAACTACCTTACTAACTATTATATTAATATTATATAAACTATTATATTAATTAAGCACCAAATTAGGAGTTTATTGAGGCAAAAGTCGTAGTTAATGGTTTGTTAATAGTGAGAATTGGACCTTAAAATAAAGTGTGACCATAATTTGGGAAGTCATGTGAAAGTCAGTTTTCTGTTTTCACGTCACACCACTGTTTATCAGTTTGCACTGGCTACCAGTAGCTGCTCGCATTAAATTCAAGGCATTACAAAACCACCACTGGCTCTGCACCCCTTTACCTAAATTCATTACTTCAGAGTTATGTGCCTCTAGAAGCTTGCGTTCTGCAAGTGAA